GATGGACCACTTCAGAGCATACACTGTAGCCCTGGGATCCACTGAAAACTTGTGAGATTGGCCATTGAGGAACTGAACTGTGATGATGACATTTGAACTGGTTCCTTCACTAGAGGTTTCCTCTTCGCTTGTCTTGTTAGCTGCTAGTGGCTGTAGTTCAATGTTCATTGTCTTCTCCAGTGGTACTACTATTGTAGGATCAGGTTCTGGTCTGGTTTCAACGATCACATTCTGGCTCATCACCTGGTATGTTAATGGCTTTGGGTCCTTTAGTGTCTTGTACAATGGATCATCTTTAGTAATGACTTTACTCCCTGGTATTAGACTGGTTAATGCAGCTGCTACTAACTGTAGGTGAGCACTGGAAGAAGCTACTGCCATTTGGAGTGATATTTTGTAATGACACAGAGATAGATTTCATATAGAACAAAAGTCTTGTGACCAGGGGGTGTATATAATGGGTGGACCATTAGGTATAAGTTTACACAGTAAAAACCACATTGTGGTTTTTACTTGTAGAATAATGTTTAGAATTGCAAATGTCTCAAAATTTAAATAGTTAATGATAGTATTATGGTAGTGTGTCCAGGATTAATAGATTAATCTGTTTTGTATGATAGCCTAGCCTCCTATCTTTTAACAAAAGACGACTTTAGTTGCATAGATCTATCCTGTGTCAGTGTCAATATTTAGGCCAGTATAAAAGTGATTCTTTTCTATTATTCTTTTATCATCTTTCTGTAACTATGAATACTAGCATTTTTATATCAAGCAAAAAACAGAATTAAGTGTTGTAATTTTTAATAAACTACTTAATAAATCCTAATAATGTTCAATGATGCTGTTTATTAATCTATCAAAAGTTAAGCACTACTAGCCTCTTTAACTTCCCTGATACATATCCCATACGGTCTCAGGTCATCAGAAGAATATGTCAGATAATACTCTGCTTTATCTCTTGTCTTCTCCTTTGGTATTATCTCAGAGTGTCCAGGATTGAGATTAACTCTGTTTTGTACCACAACTTCATATCTTTTACCATCAGTATGGTCAAATCGTGAGGCGTAATCAGCAGCAACTTCAACATCAGGTGTTGAGTAAAAGCCTCTTCCAAAACAATCTCTTACTAATCTTGCTCCATCATATCCTCTACTAGCAATACCTTCTGCTCCTTCTCTTCCTGTTCCATGATAAGAGACTGGCCATTCTGCCTTTGAAGTTTTAGTTCACTCAGACCCATCCACTGGTATTCCCAGCCAGGTATCATCAGGTGGATACTTCCCCTTAACTTTAAATGCTATTCTATTCCAACCATGAGGACGCTTGTAGTGATACTCGTGTTTTAGAAACCCCAAGAACCCTTGACTTCTACCTCGCTGATAAACTCTTCCTGTGTCACATTCATTTGTGAAATCATAATCATAGTTAGGATCCAGTAAATCCTCATCTAACACTAGTATGGTTGGTCCAGCTCCTTCTCTTAGTCTAACTATAAATTGTATGACAGACCCATCTTTGATCCCACAGTTTGTCAATAGACAGTCATCATCATTGAGCTCCTTCCTCCCAAAGGTGAGTACAATGTTATTAACATCATACTGTGAGTACTCATCAAACCCTTTACTCTTAAAGATGGACCACTTCAGTCCATACACTGTAGCTTTTGATGGGTTTACCGAAAACTTGTAGGATTGATCATTGAGGAACTGAACTGTGATGACTATATTTGAACTGGCCCCTCCACCAGAGGCTGGTTCATCACTAGTGTCATGAGCTAGTGGCTGTAGTTCAATGTCCATTGTCTTCTCCAGTGGTACTACTATTGTAGGATCAGGCTCTGGCTTGGTTTCAACGATCACATTCTGGCTCATCACCTGGTATGTTAATGGCTTTGGGTCCTTGAGTGTCTTGTACAGTGGATCATCTTTAGTAATGACTTTACTCCCTGGTATTAGACTGGTTAATGCAGCTGCTACTAACTGTAGGTGAGCACTGGAAGAAGAAGAAGAAACCACTTCCATTCTAAATAATACCTTGTCTTCAGTGCTGTATAGAGAAGGACTGTCACTGGAATCTGTTGGTATAGAGCTAGTCTCAAAGTAGAGGTGGGATATATGCAGTGGGTGGGTTAAAATACTATCTTACTCTATACTATCTTAATCTATATTATCTTAATACTACTATCTTAGAGGGATGGGATGGATTATAATAGCTGAGGGGTGGAACCACACTTACATGTAGTATGGTAGAGCTTAATTAGCTCATTTAGTTTACATAATAAACCTTAATGTATCATCCTTTATTTAATTTGCTTATACAGTAGTGAGTGCCAATAGTCCTACATAATACTGAGTGCATTTGAAGCACCACTTTATCTAGAACTAAGTTTCTTCGTGTACTATTTATTTTAAATACAATCATCTAGTAACTACTAATCTCAGTTCTGTAAGCTCATTCATTCAGTATAATGTACTACAAGACTGACAACAAAAGTACAACCTGCCATGGAAAAGCTACGCCAAAGCTGAATATTTTTTAAAATTATTAACTCAACAAAAGCTTAATTTTGTTACTAATAAACATGACAATTCTAAATATAAAAATTATTGTTATTGTCCGTGTAAATTAAGTTTTCACTCATTAATGTTTAGTAGAGAACACACATTCATGTACTTTAGAATGTTGCTTCTTTGATACACACTGCATAAGGACGTTTGTCATTACTGGATTGTGTCACATAGTAATCAGCTCCATAGCCAGTAATATCCTTTGGTATTATTTTATTGTTCCTTATATTTACTCTATTTTGTATGACAACTTTGTATTTTTTGCCATCCACTTCAAACGGATCCGAATGTGTTGCAGCATGATCAATATTAGGTATAGAGTAATGGCCTTTGCCAAATTTGGCATCAGCATTACACTTGTCTCCATCATATCCTCCTTCTGCTATCTTTATTGAAGCTATCTCTTTTGTTCCATGATAAGAGACTGGCCATTCTCCTGGTGAGCTTTCAGTCCGATGATGAGGAGCTCCCAACCAGATGTCATTCTCATACTGTCCCTTTACTTTTATCACTATCCTGTTCCAACCGTACGGTCGCCTGTAAGGATACCCTCCTCTTTTGAATACCTTCCCATCATCATCAGTGACATGAGTGAAGTCATCATCAAATGCTGGGTCTAATAACTCATCACTTATAAAGAGAAAGGAGTCCCTCCACCACTTACACGTGTTACAATAACCAAATTTGAACGGCGCATAATACCATAATGTGTCAGTGGTTTATCAGATTCTAACTGTTTTCCACCAAAGACTAGCCTAATGTTAGTTGGATCTATAGAATCTAAATATGGATATTTCTGTGCGATATCCCATTGCAAATCTTCTACTCTTCCGTTTACATCAACCATCACAGGTAGTGTCCTTTCCTCTAATCCAGTTATAATTATCTCAGTATCTTTATTTAGTACACGCTGTGGTTTCCTGATATATGGATTATCACTACGTGGATTACTAACTGTCAGCACTGAGCCTCGTATCAAGTCATATTCGGCGTCAATTATATTGCTTTGCATTTCTTCCCGTACCTCTTTTATTCCAATGGCATCATCTTTGGATAGTATCCTAAAGGGGGCAATGCATGAACTGATTCAAAGCTGCTGCTAGTAGTCGTTCCTTTGATACTGACACAATGATGAACTGAACAGGAGCAACAGGTTACAATACAAATAGGTCAATGAATTAGCAGCTATACAGCCTTTATGGATATAATGCTGACTTCTGTTATATTTATTAGAGTTCTGTGTAGTTTAAGGAGTGGCCAGGGAAACAAAGTGTGGGCAGTTTATGCAGGTGTAGGTGGATGTGTTTATAGTAACTCTAACAATGACTTTATGTCACTGGCTAAACAATGATGGGAGTTTAGACTATTGGAAGTTCCATTAGCCTAAACTCACATCATTGTTTAGTCCACATATTATTATAGATGATATGTGGTCTTTCCATGCCTCATAATGAATGAGTTAGTTAGTTAGTATAGCACTTTGCAAAATCTTATCACCAGAAACAGTCACTAATCACACATTTTCATAGTAAAGGTACAAACAGCAATTAAAATGCTATTTGATAGCACTAGTTTTTAAAAATAATTATTTGACATATCTCATAACTAATCTGATTCTCAAGTGAAAAGTTTAGTTCAGTTATATTGAATCCAGTTGTTATATTTCCCTGATACCGTATAGTGCAAGTTTTTTAGGGCTGTAAATTTTGCGAATTTGCCTAAAAATTTATTTTGTGGATTTAATTTTCACAAATTTATGCTGCCTGCTATCTTGTACTGTAATAATTTGATTTTCATGAAAGTATTTTTTGCGAATCTTCAAAAAATTGTGAAATCCATGAAATTTATAGCCCTTGAAAATTTTCCACTATACAATCAATGCACATTACTTTTGCCTGTGTGAAAAGGCCTTAACCTTCCACTTGAAAGTCTGTAGCATATTTAGCAGCCACTTTAATATCAGGAGTAGAGTAATAGCCTGAACAAAATACTTGGTGAAAAATATTAAACTATTGGATATAAGTTTACACAGTGAAACCACATCATGCTTTTAGCATGTGATGTGAATGTTTTTAAAGTTTGTATTAAATTTCTCTCTTAGCTTCATTTCATAGTTATAGAGTTGATATGTTGATTATCAATACGAGGATTACTATCTATCAACATGGAGTCTCATAGGAATTTATATTTGGCGTCAGTTATATTGTGTCACATTTCTTTTGGTACCTCTTTTATTCCAATAGCATTGTCTTTGGATAGTATCCTAAAGGGGCAATGCACTAGTTGATTTAAAGCAGCTGCTAGTAGTTGTCACTTAGATACTGACATAATGAAGAGTGACAGGTTACAATACAAACAGGTCTTTTGATAGATATAGAGAGCCCTTATGGATATATTACTGACTTCAGCTACAACACGTGAAGCATGAGCCGGTCACATGCCTGGCAGTAATTGAATTAGAGGATGTAGAATACATTAGTGGGAGTATATCTGTAGTACTAGTTTTGACAGGAACAGTTTGTGTAGTGAAATTTTTATAAAAAATGATTTTTTAAAATCCTAATTATAAGCCATATCATTGTTTAATAGTTAGCAATTGTCTATTCTCACTCAGTAAAGTTAGTCACTGCTATCCTCTTTAACTTCCCTGATACATATCCCGTATGGTCGCAGGTCTTCAGAAGAATATGTCACATAATACTCTGCCCCAGCACGTGTCTTCTCCTTTGGTATTATGATAGTGTTTCCAGGACTGAGATTGACCCTGTTCTGCATGACAGCCTCATATTTTTTACCATTTTGATCAAATGGCTTTGTGTAATATTTGGCAGCTACTTCAATATCTGGAGTAGAATAATGACCTTTACCATGATAACATTTCTCCCTCCATTGTTTGCTGTCGTATCCTTCAGCTGCAATACCTTCTGCTCCTTCTCTTCCTGTTGCATGATAAGACACTGGCCATTCACCTTTTGAAGTTTTAGTTCGTTCAGACCCAGCTACCGGTATTCCCAGCCAGGTATCATCTGGTGGATACTTTCCCTTTACTTTGAGAGCTATTCTATTCCAACCATAAGGACGCTTGTAGTGATACTCGTGTTTCAAAAAACCCAAGAACCCTTGACTTTGGCCTCGCTGATAAACTCTTCCTGTGTCACGTTCGTTTGTGAAATCATAATCATAGTTAGGGTCTAGTAAATCCTCGTCTAACACTAGTATGGTTGGTCCAGCTCCTCCTCTTAGTTTAACTGCAACTTGTACGACAGACCCATTTTTAATTCCACAGCCTGTCAGTAGACGATCATCATCATTGAGCTCCTTCCTTCCAAAGGTGAGTACAATGTTATTAACATCATACTGTGAGTACTCATCAAACCCTTTACTCTTAAAGATGGACCACTTCAGAGCATACACTGTAGCCCTGGGATCCACTGAAAACTTGTGAGATTGGCCATTGAGGAACTGAACTGTGATGATGACATTTGAACTGGTTCCTTCACTAGAGGTTTCCTCTTCGCTTGTCTTGTTAGCTGCTAGTGGCTGTAGTTCAATGTTCATTGTCCTCTCCAGTGGTACTACTATTGTAGGATCAGGCTCTGGTCTGGTTTCAACGATCACATTCTGACTCATCACCTGGTATGTTAGTGGCTTTGGGTCCTTTAGTGTCTTGTACAGTGGATCATCTTTAGTAATGACTTTACTCCCTGGTATTAGACTGGTTAATGCAGCTGCCACTAACTGTAGGTGAGCACTGGAAGAAGCTACTGCCATTTGGAGTGATATTTTGTAATGACACAGAGATAGATTTCATATAGAACAAAAGTCTTGTGACCATGGGGTGTATATAATGGGTGGACCATTGGGTATAAGTTTACACAGGGAAAACCACATTGTGGTTTTTACTTGTAGAATAATGTTTAGAATTGCAAATGTCTCAAAATTTAAATAGTTAATGATAGTATTATGGTAGTGTGTCCAGGATTAATAGATTAATCTGTTTTGTATGATAGCCTAGCCTCCTATCTTTTAAAAAATTGGTGCATAGACCTATCCTGTATCAGTGTCAATATTTAGGCCAGCATAAAAGGTGATTCCTTTCTTTTATCATCTTTCTGTAACTATGAATACTAGCATTTTATATCAAGCAAAAAACAGAATTAAGTATTGCAATTTTTAATAAACTACCTAATAGACTAAATCCTAATAATTTTCAATGATGTTGTTCGTTAATCTATCAAAAGTTAAGCACTAATGGCTTTAACTTCCCTGATACATGTCCTGTATGGTCTCAGGTCATCAGAAGAATATGTCAGATAATACTCTGCTCCATGTTGTGTCTTCTCCACTGGAATTATCTCAGAGTGTCCAGGGTTGAGATTAACTCTGTTCTGAATGATAGCCTCATACCTTTTACCATCAGTATGGTCAAATCGTTGAGCAAAATCAGAAGCAACTTTAACACTTGGTGTTGAGTAAATACCTCTTCCGAAATTCTTACTGTTTAGTTTATCCTCATGATATCCAACAGCTGCTATAGCTATTGCTCCTTCTCTTCCTGTTCCCTGATAAGAGACTGGCCATTCACCTTTTGAATTTTCAGTTCGCTCAGACCCAGCTACCAGTGTACCCAGCCAGGTATCATCAGGTGGATACTTTCCCTTTACTTTGAGAGCTAACCTTTTCCAACCATAAGGACGCTTGTAGGGGTAATAAAACCCTTGACTTTGACTTCGGTGGTAAACTCTTCCTGTGTCACATTCGTTTGTGAAGTCATGATCAAATTCAGGGTCTAGTAAATCCTCACTGAACACTATTATGGTTGGTCCACCTGCCCCTCTTAGTTTAACTGCAAATTGTACAACACAGCCATCTTTGATTCCATACATAGTCTCTCAGCAATTGATCATCATCATTGAGCTCCTTCCTTCCAAAGGTGAGTACAATGTTATTAACATCATACTGTGAGTACTCATCTAACCCTTTACTCTTAAAGATGGACCACTTCAGTCCATACACTGTAGCCCTGGGATCCACTGAAAACTTGTGAGATTGGCCATTAAGAAGTCGAACAGTGATGGTGGTGAAATTTTTCTTTGGAGTCGCGGTGGAACTAAGCTCATCAATTTGTGTAACTAGCCCAGGATTAGGCTCTGGCCTGCTCTCCACAATCAGATTCTTGTGCAGTATCTCATATGTTAACGGTTTTGGATCCTCCAGTGTTGTATACAGTGGATCATCTTTAGTAATGACTTTACTCCCTGGTATTAGACTGGTTAATGCAGCTGCTACTAACTGTAGGTGAGCACTGGAAGAAGAAGAAGAAACCACTTCCATTTTGAATGATACCTTGTCTTCAGTGCTGTATAGAGAAGGACTGTCACTGGAATCAGTTGGTATAGAGCTAGTCTCAAAGTAGAGGTGGGATATATGCAGTGGGTGGGATAAAATACTATCTTACTATATGCTATCTTAATCTATATTATCTTAATACTACTATCTTAGAGGGATGGGATGGATTATAATAGATGAGGGGTGGAGCCACACTTACATATAGTATAGTAGAGCTTAATTAGCCATTTAGTATACATAATAAACCTGAACATGAACATTTACTCAGTTGAATAATTACATCATCCTTTGAATTAAATTGCTTTTATTGTTGTACTGATCATTTTGTGATGAGCTGCTAGTCTATTGGAGTAGCTGTACTGAGTAAGTTTGAAGCACCACTCTATCTAGAACTAAGTTTCTTAATGTAATATTTATTTTAAATACAATCATGTAGTAACTACTAATCTCAGTTCTGTAAGCTCTACTCATTCAGTCAGTATAATGTACTACAAGACTAACAACAAAAAACAAAAGCCACACCAAAGCTGAATATTTCTAAAATTATTAACTCAATAAAAAATTAATTATTTGTTACTAATAAACATGACAATTCTAAATATAAAAATTATTGTTATTGTCCATGTACATTAAGTTTTCACTCATTAATGTTTAGTAGAGAACACACATTCATGTACTTTAGAATGTTGCTTCTTTGATACACACTGCATAAGGACGTGTGTCATTACTGGATTGTGTCACATAGTAATCAGCTCCATAGCCAGTAATATCCTTTGGTATTATTTTACTATTCCTTATATTTACTCTATTTTGTATGACAACTTTGTATTTTTTGCCATCTACTTCAAATGGATCTGAATGTGTTGCAGCATGATCAATATTAGGTGAGAGTAACGGCCTTGGCCAAATTTAGCATCAGCATTACACTTGTCTCCATCATAACCTCCTTCTGCTATCTTTATTGAAGCTATCTCTTTTGTTCCATGATAAAATACTGGCCATTTTCCTGGTGATCTTTCAGTACAATGGTGAGGAGTTTCGAACCAGATGTCATTCTCATACTGTCCCTTTACTTTTAACGCTACCCTGTTCCAACTGTACGGTCGCCTGTAAGGATACCCTCCTCTTTTAAATACCCTCCCATCATCAGTGAAGTGAGTGAAGTCATCATCAAATGCTGGGTCTATTAACTCATCACTTATAAAGAGAAAGGAGTCCCTCCACCATATACACTATCTGCAGTAAATAACGTTGCACCCTCAATACTACAATAACGTGTAAGTGGCTTATCAAGCTCTATTTGCTTGCTACCGAAGAGTACCCTAGTGAATGAATAATGGATGAAAATGTGGATGATACATGAAGCTTGAATATTCTTGTGCCATTTCCCACATTGCATCTTCTATTGTTCTATTTGCATCCACCATCACAGTTAGTGAGCTTTCATCTAATCCAGCTATGATTATCTTAGTATCTCATGCTGTGGTTTCTTTATATAAGGATTATAAATATATGGATAACTATATATCAACATCGAGCCTCATATCAATTCATATGTGGCATCAGTTATATTGTGTCGTATTTCTTCTTGTACATCATCGTCTCTGGATAGTATCCTATAGGCCGGGGGCTGCACTAGTTGATTTAAAGCAACTGCTAGTAGTTGTCCCTTAGATACTGACATAATGAAGAGTGACAGGTTACGATACAAATAGGTCTATTGATAGATATACAGCCTTTATGGATATATTACTCACTTCTGCTACATTACTGCCAGGCATGTTCCAGTCACATGCCTTCCAGTAATGGAATTAGAGCATGTAGAATACACTTGTGGGAGTACATCTGTAGTACTAGTTTTGATAAGAATGGGCTGTGTAGTGAAATTTTTATAAAAAATAATTTTAAATCCTAGTAGTAAGTCATATCATTGTTAAAATGGTTAGCTATGGTCTATTCTCACTCAGTAAAGTTAATCACTACTAGCCTCTTTAACTTCCCTGATACATATCCCATACGGTCTTAGGTCTTCAGCAGATGGTGTCAGATAATATTCTGCCCCAGCACGTGTCTTCTCCTTTGGTATTATGATAGTGTGTCCAGGACTGAGATTAACTCTGTTCTGCATAACAGCTTCATATTTTTTACCATTTTCATAAAATGGCTTTGCATAATATTTAGCAGCTACTTCAATATCTGGAGTAGAATAATGGCCTTGACCATGATAGCATGGTTCCTTCCTCCATCGGTTGCTGTCGTATCCTTCAACTGCAATACCTTTTGCTCCTTCTCTTCCTGTTCCATGATAAGAGACTGGCCATTCACCTTTTGAACTTTCAGTTCTCTCAGACCCAGCTACCAGTGTACCCAGCCAGGTATCGTCTGGTGGATACTTGCCCTTAACTTTGAGAGCTAACCTTTTCCAACCATAAGGACGCTTGTAGTGGTAATCATGTTTAAATAAACCCAAGAACCCTTGACTTTGACCTCGTTGGTAAACTCTTCCTGTGTCACATTCGTTTGTGAAGTCATGATCAAATTGAGGGTCTAGTAAATCCTCATCTAACACTATTACGGTTGGTCCACCTGCCCCTCTTAGTTTAACTGCAAATTTTACAACACAGCCATCTTTGATCCC